CGTACACTAATAAGCTGAAGAAACGATCATCTAGTGGAACTTTATATTCAGAAAATTGTTTTAAAATAGCTGAAAGTAAAAAAAAAAAAAAAAAAAGGGCACAATGAAAATTTTCTTGAATAAAAATGATCATATTAAGATAGGGACTGAAGGACTCCATAAAAATCTGCTTTTTGCTCCTTTTCCTGCTTCTACTCTTGCTAGGACCTGCACCCCCACTTTACACATGCCTCAGTAGTTTATGTCCTCCTTGTAAGAGGCAAGGAGTTAATGATTTCTCTAGAAAAGATAACATTTAAGGAAGGACCAGGTGAGAATAACCAGACAAAGCTATCATATGTGCATTCCAGACCACCAGCACTAGACATATCCATGTCAAGATACCCAGGCTCCAAGGAATAACACATGGGCCCTCACCTTTGATCTAACCAGTTCCTGGATGCCTGAGAGGACACATACACCAGACCATGATCCTCAACAAAAACTCCCAGGCCCGAAGCAAAGATGAGACTTCCCCCTTTCCTGAGTCTCTCAGATACTCTGTACCTGCCACTCTCTCTATGCCCTTAATAAATACCGCTTTCATCTCTTGCTGGCTCACATTTGATTTCTATCCTGCACGCATCCAGGGACCCCTCTGGTTGGTCCTGAGGGACCCTCTCTGGGTCCAGATCAGGCCTGCTGGCATCAGTACCATATTAGCCTTTTAAAGGCAAAATAAAATTTGATTCACAGGTATGAAACAATACAAATCAAAACAACATTAGTGGTGAAATATTTTTTACTTTATCATTTGAAGATAGAACCAATCCTTATTATTCACAGATTTGCATGTTTGCAAATAAGCCTACTCCCTAAAATTTATTTGTAACCCCCAAATCAATACTCAGCATTTTCAGTCATTTGCGGACATACATAGAGCAGCAAAAAGTTTGAGTCATCTGACTTAGGTAATCTCAGTTGAGGTCGAACAATTCAACGATCTGTTTTTAAGTTTGAAAATTAGATTTTGTAACAAAATTTAAATAAACTAAACACTTGAAAGCAAAACACAAAAAGAGTACAATTTACTCATTTCAAATATTCATTGCATAGTTCAGTAAATTTCCCTTTAGAAATGCACTCACTAAAGGTTTTGAGTTTGTCCTTCTATATGATATTCCAATATAATAATGCATAAGTAGGAATCCTAAGAATTTTTTTTTAAATATAACTTAGAAACCATTTTCCTTCATTAATTATAATTAAAAATAGTTTTTAATTCAATGTCTAGGTTTTCAAAATGTTCACCTACCAGCCAGTGTTTCCCAAAGCAATAGACACAGAACTCAGAAGAAGATTGCACTTAGATTCACTGAGAACTGCATCATGGTTTGCAGCAGGGGCAATCACCACAAACTCCCGCAGTCCATACCTTTAAAAAAAGAACCACTGCCATTAAACAGGGAAAACTTCAGAATACAAAACCATTATTTGAAAAATACCTACCTGCTGAAATCAAAAATTAGTTATACAGAAATGGCACTGAATACTGGAAAGAATCCAGAGCTATGAATTTTAAGCTCTAAAGGTTTTAAAAATACACTTTTCTCTTTTTTAATGTCCTTGGAAGAAAGAAAACAAAACAAGTGAACATTTTTCCCCATGCCATCACCCACACTAGAGTGAAACCACAGTCAACAGTTCTTGGTTATTCTGGGGCGCCTAGGTAGCTCAGTTGGTTAAGCGACTGCCTTCGGCTCAGGTCATGATCCTGGAGTCCCGGGATAGAGTCCCACATGGGGCTCCCTGCTCAGCAGGGAGTCTGCTTCTCCCTCTGACCCTCCCCCCCTCATGCTCTCTCTCTATCTTATTCTCTCTCTCAAATAAATAAATAAAATCTTAAAAAAAAAAAAACAGTTCTTGGTTATTCTTCCAGAAATAATCTATCCATGTACTCATCCTACCCTCAAATAAGATTATAATATTTATGCTTTCTGTAACTCCTTTTCAAAGGGTAATCCCCTACCAATCAGTACTCTGTCTCCAGTTTTATTCCATTCTAACACTGCTACTATTTCTACAAATATAACTATAGGATAAAATCCTATTAAGTTGACGGATAAAAGAACATCTGTATCTGTTATAGCTGCTGCCAAACTATCTTCTCCCTCTCCACACACACACAAACTGTGCCAGTGTATACTCCCAATAACAACAAATAAGCCAAACCAAACTGCGTTCTGTATATATGCAATAAAATTAATTGTGTTCTCTATGTCTTTATTTCCTCTAACTGGAATGTTTTCCCTCATTCTATCAGTATCTGACTGATACATTCTTTGAAGATTTACCTCAAATACTACCCCACCACTCTGGTTAAAATATGCTATCTTCTCTGAATTCTACTGTATTTTTCCAGGTACTATTATTATCTTTGAAAGATCAATATATATCACTGATTTACTATCTGTATTAGACCTATTTGAGGCCTGAGACGATGCCTTCAACTAAGCAAACATTAAGTGGAGGCCTTAAAAAATGAGAAAAATCAACAACAAAAAACAAGCAACCTGATTAAAAAGTGAACAAAGAACGTGAATAGACATTAGTCCAAAAAACATATACAATAGGAAAATAAGCACATGAAAAGATGCGCTCAACATCACTAATTAGGAAATGTAAATCAAACCCACAGTGAAATATGACTTCACACCCACTACGATGGCTACTGTAACAAGCAAAATAAAACACATAACAAACGTTGGCAAGGATATGCGGAAGTGAGAACCACTGGGCATGAATGGTGCGAATATAAAATAGTACAGCCACTATGGAAAAACAGTACCGTGATTCATCAAAAACTGAAACACAGAATGACCAGCAGTTTCAGATCTGGGTATATACCCAGAAAAATTAAAAGCAGGGACACAAAGATACTTGAACATGCGTGCTCACAGCACCTTATCCACACAGCCAAAAGGTAGAAACCCAGATGTCTATCAATAGATGAATGGATACACAAATGTGATATATGCACACAGTGCAATATTATTCAGCATTAAAAGGAAAAGAAATTCTGATACATACTACAACACAGATGAACCTTGAAGACTTAATGCTAAGTGAAATAAGCCAGTAACAAAAGGATGAATACCATATGATTACATTTATATGAGGTACATAGAGTAGTCAAACTTACAGAGACAGAACATAGAATGGTGGTTACAGGGCCTGGCGGATGAAGGATTGAGGAGTTATCATTTAATGGGTACAGAGTTTCAATATGGGATGATGAAAAAGTTCTGGAGATGAACACTGGTGATGGTTGCACAAAAATATGAATGTACTCAACACCAGTGTACACTTAAAAAATGGTTAAAATAGTAAATTTTGTTATCTTTCACAACAACAAAAAGTTAAACAAATATATGAGCAAAACTGATACATATTTTAAAGAATAAGAAATATCAACAGCTAAGCATTTTATTCAAAGATGTCCAACCTTATTAGTGATTAGGAAAATAAAATTAAGGGAAGATAATCACTATTTACCAATTAAATTGGCAAAAAATATAAAATACTGGTAAGATACAGTATTGGCAAGAGTTTGGGACATGCCACAGGTGGTGGTATAAACTTTTAAAACATTTTTGGAGAACAAAAAGGCAGGATATATCAATATTTAAAATTCACAAACTTTGTACTAATTATATTTCTTTTTATCTATTTTCCAAAAACATTCATACAAACGCATATCTTGAAGATATTGCGGGTTCAGTTCCAGATCACCACAATAAAGCAAATATCAAAATCAAGCACGTATAAATGATTTTTTTGGTTTCCCAATGCACATAATTTTTATACTATACTGTAGTCTACTAAATGTGCCAACAGCATCTTGTCAAAAAAAATGTAAATACCTTAAATAAAAAATACTTTGTTACTAATAAATGCTAACAATCTTCTGAGATTTCAGCAATCACAGATTACAACAATAAATAGAAAAATAATGAAAAAGTTTGAAATACTGCAGGAATTATAAAAATATGACAGAGACCAGAAGTGAATAAATGCTACTAGAAAAACCAACTTGCAGATACACACTTGCTCAACACAGGGTGCTACAAACCTTCAATTTGTAAAAGATCAGTATCTGCAAAATACAATAAAGAAAAGCACAAAAATGAGGTATGCCTTTATGCATAATGATGCTTACTGTAAACAGTTTCATTGTGAAAACTAAAAACAACCTAAATATCCTTTAATGGAAAAAAAAATGGGTAAATAATTACAGAACCCTCTCATACTACATGATACCTGTCATTAAAAAAAAAATAAGGTTTTAAAAGAAAAGTTTACTGACATAAAGGCAATCATGAAATGCTAACACAAATGTATATCAGAAGACACATAGTAAAATCTAATTTATGAAAAAAAGTCACAAATCAAAAGCACAAAAATACATAAACATATAACTAACATAATCTTAAAAAATCCAGATGGACATATCCCATATTTCCCATGATTTCCTGCTTGGCTGTCCAAAATTAATAAGTATGAGATGTTTAAACCCCCTTTTTATATGTGTGTAGAAAGGAAGGGATGGGGAGGAAAGAATAGGAAAAGTGAAGGGGGAGTAGAATGGTCCGGTAAGTTTCATTAATAAATCTTTATGTATCCTACAATATCTAGTCTAGTAATTTAAATTTATTAGGTGTTCAACCATATCAACACAAATAAAAATCCCACTATGGCAATTTTTAATAATAGAACTGTTTTATGTTAGGTAGTCTGTTAGATTACACTTTGTACATGCTAAATACTAAATTTAAATATAAATGTGCCTTAGCATCACATTCTCCAACTGAGAAAGGTAGGACAATCACTCATTTTTATCTATTTTGTTCTAAGATACATTTTTCTTTCTTGCTCCAATAAAGACTGAAAGCAACAACAAATAACCAATATTTGTACCTGTTGTTTATCTTGCATAGGAAAATCATAAAAACACACACCAACTTTGAATGCTACCATTTTACATCTCCTACATGTAGAGTTTCTTTCTTAATTTAGAAAGAAATATATTCAGGGGCGCCTGGGTGGCTCGATCAGTTAAGCGTCCAACTCTTACTTTTGGCTCAGGTCATGATCTCAGGGTTGTGAAACTGAGACTCATGTGAGGCTCTGCGCTGGGTGTGGAGCCTACTTAAGATTCTCTCTCCCTCTCCCTCTGCCCCTCCCCCCTCCAGAAAGAAAGAAAGAATATATTCAGAGCCTCTTTGAATAGTGTAAACAATATATGCATAAAATACTGGATCACCAAAAACAGTAATGATAAATAAAAAACTTTCTTGGACATATTTATACCTAGAATGTACAATATACCTGAGAAAATGTAAGTGTTCAATAAGCAATTTCTTTTTTCAATTTCATCCTCCCAGACACCTTTGGATATTGCAAACTGTACCTTTAATTTATAAATCTATTCAGATTAATTCTGGTAAAATCTAGCAATTTTACACAGTATAGCTCCATTTCCTCCCCTATTCCTTTGTACAATACTGTCTTATATATTACATTTACCTACATTATAAACCCAACAGTACAGCGTTATAATTATTGCTTAAGCAATATTAGGGGCTTTTTTAATTAAGAGAATTGCCTTTTGTATGTACTAGAGTATTTCCAATGCTCTTCATTCCTCCTATGGATCCAATTATCATCTCTTTCTTTTAATACTGCCTATAAGGTAGGTCTCCAGGCAATGAATTCTCTTTGTTTATGTAATGGTGTTATTTCATCTTTATTTTTTTGAAAGATAGTTGTGCTGGATACAGTATTCTAGGCTGGCAGTTTTTTTTTTCTTTCAATACTCAATATCTCATTGCACTGCCCTCTGGCCTCCAATGTTTTTGTCAGCAAACAGTATTGTTCTTTTGTACATGACAAATCATTTTTCTCTTGCTGCTTTCAAAATTCTCTTTGCTTTGGGTTTCAGCAAGTTGATGATAATGTGTCTAGATTTGGTTCAGAGTCCTGGGTCCATAAATATTTTTTCATTGAATCTAAGAAGTTTTCAGCCATTATTTCTTTGAGTATTTCCTCCCCCTGCCCTTTCCTTCTTTTCATCTGGGACACCCATTATTACATGTATGCTTTGTAACACCTGACACTGAACCACAGATCTACTAAGTGCTGTTCATTTTTCTCTATTCTTTTTTCTTTCTTTCTTTGGATTGGATAATTTCTTTTTTTTTTTTAGATCCATATTTTTTTTTTAATTTATTTTTTTTATTCTTATGTTAATCCCCATACATTACATCATTAGTTTTAGATGAAGTGTTCCATGATTCATTGTTTGTGCATAACACCCAGTGCT